TACGCAATATAAATTTTATATCAGAGAAACAACTCATTTTCTCCTTGATTCTAATTACACATTCCTTTATTTAAGTTCGAAATAAGTATTCTTTTCCAGTATTAATGGATTTTGTCGTGGCTAGCAGGAAAGCGTTGTCATAAATAAATATAATTTTTTCATCGTTGCGTAGTTTTAAGATGATTCTAAAATATTAAGCAAACAGCTGGCTTACAGTCTTACAATTATATTTATACTTGCAACAATACTTATATTAATTAATAATGGCACTAAATTAGGGCTTATTGATTGAATTTGAGAGAAGTTAGCAGAGGAGATTAAAATTTATATGTTGACCAACATAATCATATTATTTATTAATAATATATAACAATAAAACAATAAATTTTTTTATTAATTAAAGTAATTCTATTTAGGTTTCATTTTGTTGTACTTTTATAGTCGTTTTTTCTCATAAACACAACTCTGAACAATCAATTCTAAGGCGAATGGTTTCTAAGCGATAGTCATATTTTTCTCGTCTCATTTGAATGACATTGGAGAAGGTGACTTCACGATTGTTACGCACACATGATCAAAAAACAAAAAACAAAAATAAAATACAGAATGAATAATAATAGGCGACGAAGTCATATATAATACAAAAGCACCCGAAAAGCGGAAACATAAGATACGTTTCTTCTTAGGTAGTTATCCTCGCTTCTGTACGTGCTACGTACTATGCATAAAGCACGGCAAAAACATCTGTCAACGATCTTCTTATTGTTATTGCCGCTCTCGTTGAACTATTATCCTTGTCGTTATTATAATTGAGTTCGTTATTATCTTTAGTTATCTCTTTTAGTTTATACAACGAATTTTGATTTTTTGATGCGGTTATATTAACAGATGCTTGCATGTATTTTTGATCAGGGAAATCTATTGCAGAAGCTGATAAAATGATATGAAGCATCAATGTACACAAGAGTCAAATTCAAGGATTTTGATCTTTCACTGCACAAAATAACAGTTTTCTATTTAGTATTATTGAGTTATTCAGTGTATATAAATTCTTATCATAGAACGCTAAACATTGCGTTTCCGAATGCTGTTGTTGTTCGATTTGAAGAAATCAGCCGTTGGAGTCCATCAGGTACTTCTAGAAGCTCATAGCAATGCTGCTCTATCATACCGCAATTGTCGGGTTTCGTTTCAACGTTTTAAAAGTGGCGATTTTGATGTCAACGGCAAATAACGGCTCGGAAGAAAAAAAAGTTCGAGGACAATAAATTGCAAGACTTATTGGGCGAAAACACAGCTTAAACTCTCAAAGAACTTTCGAAGAGCTCGGCAGTTTATGAACCAATTGTTTCTAGACGTTTACATGTGATTGAAAGGGTCCAAAACAAACGAAAATGACTATCATACGAGTTGACTGAAAATGGAATTCCGAACCGTTTAAATATCGCGGTTTAATTCCGTGCCAAGCATAAAAGAACAGCTGAGGCGTCTTGTGACTGACGATAAAAAATAAGTCTCTTGCGACAAAGCCAAGCATAAAAACACATGATCTAGTCCTGGAAGGCCACCCACATCGACACAGAGGCTAAATATTCATGCCGATAAAACTGAATTCAACTTTTACTACAGCAGTCTACCCATGTCAATTGAACAAATTGAACAATATATTGTTGCAAAAAATATCAGCAATAATGGTGCAGAGACGTAAAGTCATCCTCTTGAATGACACGCATTGCGAGAGTTCTCAAGAATACACTCTTGCCGTCAAAACGGGAAGTTCTGCCGCATCCGACGAACTCGCCCGACGTAGCGCCTCTTGATTACGTCTGCTCAGGTCCACGCGGCATAGCTTTGCTAGTACGCAGTTTTGAAATGTTCAAGAAGTGCGAAATAGGTCAATGATTGGATCGCTACCAAACAGTATATTTCTTCGACACGTTATTGTCATGTTGCCAGAAAGAGAGGAAAATGTTGTAGAAACTTGTGGAAAATATTTTGATTAAAAAGTTGGCTTAATCGTTATGTAGACTGGTAAACTCCATTTCTTTATAACTTTTTCAAAATATATTCAAACAACCTAATATATTGTACCAATTTTCCTCAGTAAACGCCTTTTCATTGTGAAAAATTATAAAAACACATGCAAGAATCTATTATTATAGTGGTATATTGTTGGCAATATGTCTGGCCTACTCAATACAGAATCTAGGTAAGGAATTCCGGAAAAACGATGCAGGACTAATATTCTTAACTTGGCTTTACTTTGACGCAACATAATAATTCTTTCATCTCAGCACAAGAATACGTGCTACCTATTGTACAATCGTTTTTGTATAATTTATTTTGCGAATATTGAGAAAGAGTAGAGAAACGAAGAGGCTATATGTTTTATTTGATTTCTCTTTCGGTGTATTTTTACAACGCGATTGTTAGACGAACGAACGGGAAACTATTAGTTAAGCAGAAAACTCAGTGCTTGCTTTACGCCTTTTTCATTACTCACGAACTGTCAAAATAAAAGTGATTTGAAATATTCATGAACGTACATTTTTTTTAAAACTTCTAAAATTAAGCAGAATTTCTTGTTCCAAACACAATATGATTTTCATATTTTTGTAAAAAAAAAAAATTAAACTGAGCTGTATTTCTATCATTTCCAGGTCGCAAAAAATTTTTTATATTTTAGTAATTGTATTTTGCTCCATAAAAATCATTTTTCAAAAGAGTTTTTGGCTTTGTTCTTGTTGCACATCATTGTCGCTTATGGAAACAAACACTGGCTATATGATTATTCTTTAACAGTGCACGCAAACTGTATGTTCAACTGATTGTATTTTCCGCTTTACATGTTGCTTTGTTGACGGACGACGAACGACTTACTTGCGTATATATAAATAGATGAATAAAGACAATTATGCTTAGCCCAAAACTAACTTAACTTGATCTCTAATTATATATATTTTAGTTAATTAGCTCTCATTTGAAAGACGTAACTTGTGAGCAATTTGTGTATGTCCTGTATGGCTTTCATCATTCGAAATTTATTTCGAAACAATAATGGGAAAATAGAGGGCAAATTTGACGTTTGTTTGCTTACAATGATTCAATCAATAACATAAATCATAGAAAATAAATAAGAATAAAATTATGTAAAATTTTTTATAAAATGAACTGAAGTGAACTAGATTCAAATAATTCATATGATTTCTTATTTTTATTTCTTAGGAAATCTTTTAGTTGTTGACTTGATTTTGAATATATTTCGCTTTATTTTTATATAATACAATATAATAATACATTAACATATGAATCTGCCTATAAAGTATGTACAATATTTTAAAGTGAACTGCAAAGCAATTCTAGTTTTGTCTTGCCGTGAAGGGCTACATAGATATTTGCAAACTTTCGCGGATGGTATCTGCTTTTCCGCTTTCTTATTATAATAGGCCATCCATATTGGAAAACGTAAAAGCTTAATTTGTTATTTCGAAAAATAAATTTATGACTCACATAGCGATTGATGATATACTATTACAAGCTTTGGCGGGTTAATAGTATTAATTAAACAATTAGAATAGAAAGTAAAAACAAAAAATTAATTTACTTACTATGCAAAAGTTGAAATTTTTTTTTCTTTTTGCTTCAACTGTCTGCAAGTAGACGATTTTCTTGAAGTTTATTTCATAATCAACTTACAGCTTTTTTCTCTTATAAATGCAGCTCTAAACAAACAATGCCAATGCAATACAACCAATACTAACACTAACTAAAGCGTAAGCAATTTTACTTATGCTGGTTTTGACAATTTTGAGAGAGCGTTTCTCGCACCTCTTCTTCGCTTATATAGCTAAAAGGGTCGAATCTCGAAAATGAATGAATATCATACATAATCTGTTTCCTGAAAACTTTTTTGTATATTTCTTTCACACCACCTTTTGTTTTCATATGTGTTTGTATATTTCTTTCACACCACCTTTTAAATTCACATGGTTTTGTATATTTCTTTCACATAATGTTACATGCAAACACGATGCATAAGAAAAGAAAAGAAAGAAAGAAAATACATCTGATTTTTGTTTCAAGAAAACCTACACCATAAATTGCCAACATCTGAGACTAAGCGTTTCTTATTCTCAATAATTTGTCTAAAAATTGCTAACATCTGAGAGTAAGCGTCCGAATTTGCTAACATCTGAGCGTAAGCGTATAAAAATTGCGTCCATCTGAGAGTTTGTTTACAATTTTCACTAATTGAAAATGTGTTTGGCTAAAAATTGCGTCCATCTGAGCGTAAGCGTATAGCGTTAAGCGGTAGTATCATTGCAACAGTCTGAAAGCAAAATTTTTTTTGATGTGCCTCCTTTTTTTAAACAAAAAAGTTTAAATTAGCTTATAGAAAATGTCTCACGCATTTGTCTGGAATACTTTGTATAAAGGATGCTTTCAAAATCTGTATTTCGACATAAATGCATTTTAAGTTTAAGAATGTTTTCCCCTTTCAACTAATTTGCTTGTTCTTCTTCCTATTATCCGAGAAAACCGATCAAGCAATCAAGCACATCAACCAACGATCAAATGAGACATTGCGCTGGAACTGCTGAGCAAGATTTGATATAAGGAATACACTTTCAAGCACTTCGAACAAAAGCGTTAATTTTCCAAGAAAGTTTTCTTTAAGCCAATGATTTTTTTCCACATATATTAGAAATTCTCAAACATCTACCAAGCTGATAAAAAAATTCTTTTTTTTGCCCTCAGAAACTTGCGGCATTTCGATTCCGCTACAAAAATAAGTACATTCTTTAATATCCTCGATTTAAAAACCTTTGAAAAGCTCATGCATTAAATGAAGTATAAGCATGAAATGAAGTGTAGTTTATATCTTGGACATAATTTAGTGTATACGGATGAATTCCAAATTTCATTAACTCAATTCGAGTGAAAGCAAAACAAAACTCATTGTTTTATTTTTTTACATTTTCTTGTGTTGATTTTTTTAGCTTTGTTGGCGGCTACATTGAGAACTTATCAAAGGGCTGGATGTGATTCAGAAACATTAGCGCTCAGCTGTCCACGTGGCACAAGCATTTCGATCGAATTGGCACAGTACGGACGAGCTGGAGGTAATGAGAACTTATAAATCAATCACTATGTATCTTTTTGCACATGGCTGCGTGCAAATCAAACAGTTTGATATGTCTGGCTTGCAAGTCTCTGTGGTAAGAGAAAATGTAAAAATAAAAGCACGTTATGTATTTATCTAAAGCCAATAGATGTGTCATGTATGCGCAATGTGCACAACTTTAGCCGGTATATCTATAAAAGCATATTCAGTAAATTTGTGCACATAAGAGGTGTTACAATGCACGCTGTCTTCAATTCTAACGTCGAAATATTTTGTGTACTCTTTGTGCTTGTTTTCTACAGATTCAACCGACCACAGCCTCTGTCCGCCCGCGTCACAAGAAGACTTTACTACTGTGATCACTACAAGTGAGAATGGCGGTAATAAAGGCATTGGAGTCATTCATAGCGGAACCCAAAGCGAACATAAAACTGCATTATCCTGTGTTGTAAGTGGATTACAGGTAACTAGCATAATATAAAATGTTCTGCAAGAAATAATTCATTTTGATCTAACTTTGTGTAAATTGTGCATGGTACCATAGGGGCCGAAACAAACACAAAGCAAGAATAAACTAAGTCCTATCAGCATTATAATTTTATGAACGCCTTTATGTAGATTTAAAGAAACTACAGATAGTGAGGTATAAAACATATTTGCAAATTCTACAGTTTTTTTCTATACGGTGAATAGGGATCCCATAAATGCACAAAAGCAGAATATAACATGAAAAAGCTGACATAATTGCATGCTGGATAGTATGAATGGTGTAAGTAAACATGGGTAAGACGTCAATTCCTTTGCTATATGTGCACACAATATTTTTATTTCTCATACTTAAGAAACTCTTGTAATCATTTTGTATGGATTCTTTTTGTCATGTGGCGGCAAATACATGAAACGGAAAATGTTTTTCTAGGCCGATACAAAATCTTAAAACGCGCAAGGCCAATCCAGCTCACATTAGCTACTTTCGTGGTGCTTACGTACATTTCAATTCAAGGTGTCGTAACAAAACTTTTAGTAGGAAAAATTTTAAATTTAACTAGCAGCTGATTTGAAAATTGGAAAGATAGTAGTCTATGCAGACATTATTGTTTTAATACTTGTGACCTTCTTTTTGGGAATAGTCTCGATTTTTTTTACGAATCCTGAGATCCAAAACGATTTACATCATCGTCAACAACCGAGCTACGAACACGCTTAGTAGTAGCAATAAAAACAGCAGTTTCGTTGGATGTGAAATTGATGTATTCAGTAACAAGTCAACCGTTTAAGGGCAGATTCTTCTGAAAAAAAATGTCTAACAGATACTGTGCAGAATAACTAAAAATGCGAAATCAATTTATGGAAGATATGAGACTACTCGTGAAAAAATTGCAACTAGTCAAAGCAAATTTTAAGTTATGAAAAAACCCAATATATGCTAGTATTATTAATTTATTTACTGCATTTTACTTTCTTATTTTGAATATATTAAATCTGTTCTTGAAAATGGCTTAACAGCAAATCTCTGCGTTAATTTGTAAAAAGACTGTCCTTAATTTTCGCTCAAGTTTTCGACATCCATCACTTCACATCCTTCGGCATGTGTCGATACAACTATATCGTTTATAACTAGACTTATGTTCTTAGCATTTTATTGTCATAAGGCGATAAACATTTCCACATTTTACATGCAGAATATCAACACTGCTTAGAGCATAAACCAAAATTCTGTTGTCAAAGTAGTTCCCTTTATTTTCCTTATTTATTTTTAGGTAAGTGGAATCAGGACATCCCATAATACAGGGCTCTTATTGGTTGAAATTTTTTTTGTGGTCATTTGTCGTCATTTCAAGATAGACGACTGTGTGCAAGTTAAGAGTGTTGCTGGGGCGCCATCTGTAGATGCAAATGCTATTTTTGAGATCTTTAAGTTGACGGCCTTTATGTATTTTCTCGTGAAGTTCAGACGTAGATGAACGCATATGCAAATTTATGGAGATTTTTGGGCGAAAAAAGCGATGGAAAGTGAAGTAAAAAATTAAACGAAAATAAAAATAGCTGTAAGCGAGATTGTATGTGGATAGCAAAAACACAAGAAAAAAAAAGAAAGTTGGCTTGGTGAGAGGAAAAAGATATAAGAGCGTGGACAAAAAAATAAAGATTTAAAGTTTTGTTAAAGTTACATTCGGAAAAGAACTACAAATTCTGCAAAAACAATCACACAATAAATTGAGAAATAAATTAAAGAATAATAAAATGTCTTCATAGATTGGGCTGCGCAAATCTTTTTTATTGAGAGACGTGCTCGCATTTATCATACAAATAGATAATTAAACCAAAAAAAAAAAAAAAAATTCAAAGAACCGCCATCTTGTCACCGCGAGCTGACACAAAAATTTAAGTGAAAAAGTCTTCGAAATTGTTTAATAAATTTGATCGTAAATTCAGTTTACGTAATTTTCTTTTGTATTGTCATGGGACAAACAACGTCCACCACTGAAAATAAATTCCTTCCACTGTATAGATAAAAATTTTTGTTAATCATTTCCTCCAAATTTATGATTGTTATGTATCAAAGACTATAAAGCGTAAATGAACTAATTTTGAACTCAGCATATGAGGCTACAAATTTTAATATGCTTCAGTGAAATGCTCATAATGAAAAGTAGTTTTGGATTGACTATAGAATGGAAACGCGCTTAATGATTTTTGTAATAAAAATTAAATTTTTTTTAAAGAACTTCATTTATATGATAATAAATTAAATTAAGTAACGAGATCGTATAAATACAAAGAAACACACAAACTTATATGTTAAGAAAAATGGATGAAAAAATGCAAAGTAAAGAAGCGCAAAACTTTTGCTAACCATTCTTTGCATTTAGATACTTTTAAATTGTATCGGTTTGATTCAGCTTGCACCTTGGCTGAACATAAAACACCCTATTGTGACAAATGTGTAGTGATTAAATAATGTATATTTTTGATGAGTTTCCCGATGAATTAATGCCATATAAATAGGATGCTTTATTTTCGATGGATTATTCTGATAAATAAACACCATATGAATATGTCGTTTCATTTCCTACACGTGATTTATGGTTTTATGCTCTTAATGTGACTTATTATAAAAGAAGCATTTAAGTGCGATCACGTATATTTATAATCATTATATTTATGTAAAGACAATTTACTTCTATTATATATAAAAATAGTTATAAGTATACATATGTTTACATAAATACACATATGCATAATTAGGAGTAAATAAATTAAACTCTAACCTTTATATATTTCAATACATTTAATTTTGAATAATGTGTAAAGCAATAGAAAAGGAAACTAATTTTTCTTATATTTTAGAGGAGTTTATCTAAGTGGTCCTCAGGCTCAGCTTCGGGGTCTCCCATATATATCATGGGCCGAAGTAGACCAGTAGATAGGGCAGAGTAGAGAGTGACCCTGAGTTGAAAATATGTCCGTTCGATAAGATAGGTTTCTTATGGCAAGCTGCGCTATATTTAGCTTGAGCCAAAGAGAGTGCCGCCGTGTTTTTTTTTTATGAGGATGCACACTACCACTAAATTTCGGAATAAAAACACACATATACTGTATGAGATATAGAGGATCATCACATCCCAGTCCACAGCAGCAGCTTATAGCAGAGTATGTATCGTTTTTAAGATATTTTGACTTATAGCGCACTTTTCATATAACAAAAAACCCTTTTAACGGCAGTCCAATCATACGCCTGGCTGACCTATTTCCGCCGCACAGAATAGACTGCCAATTGCTCCTTGTGAGCAACTTTCTTCATCTTTTGTGGTTTACGTTCCAAGATTAAAATTTGCTGCTTCCAGATATTTCATTATGAGTTCCTTTTTTAGGAAAATTTTTAGTCATTATTGTATTTATTTGTTCATTTATTTGTTTACCCATTTATACATGAGATTCATCTAAAGAAAATTATAGTTGAATTCAGTGCATCCTTATAGAAAATCTTATACTAATTGTTTTAAAACTAGTATACAATAAGAAGGAAGAAAAATAAGAATAATAACAAAGTAAGTTTAAATTAAATTAAAAAGTTAAAAGTAATAATAAATAAATAAAAAGACAAAGAAAAAGGAAAAAGCAGATACACAACTAGCACAGAAGCACACTCGCAACAAGAACAGATTCAGGCTGCAAGTGAACTCCTAAACCATTAAACACGTTAACAACACAATCTTATTTTAAATAAAAATATTAGATATTAAGAATGAAATGTTAATTTAAGTACGACACAGGTAAGCAAAGTTTCTTTAACAGACTTCAAAGAGTCTGATAATGAGAAAAAGTGATAGACATCATTTAGTCTTCTGCAAACAACTCTGAGCGGGTTATACAGCTCATAATTGTATTTACATTGAGTAAGCTTAATCAAGATAAAGTGCCTAGAGAAGCGATTAGGGACATTAAAGCTTATCTCACCAAGTAATGCGGGCGAGTCAATTTATTACTTTGATTAAGAAAGAAACCCCAAGAACAGATCTACGTTTCTCAAGTGACGGTAACGATAATAGAAGTAACCTATTTTCATGTGGGGGAAGAGAAGCAATCGGGTCCCAACCCAAATTCCTAAGAGCAAAGCGTAAGAATTGCTTTAGAACAAATTCTATTGAATTTACATACCTCTTATATGAAGGAGACCACAAACCTCGAGTTTAGGTCTAACCAAACACACGTACAGCCTTTTCGTAATGTACAGATCATCAAACTCTCAATTCCATATATTTTGTTAAACACACCCTGATGTTCTCTTCTTTATAGTAGTATACGCACGCATTAGTCTTTAAAGATTTTAATTCATATTTAAAGTGTTAAATGTAAAAGAAAGTTTTAAATATATATTAAAGATAAAAGTATTTCCCAACGTTTAGTACCTGCGTCTACTTCCACCCATATGTCACGACATCAAAAACGTTCAAGAAATTGCACATTGCATACATCTTCACTTTGCAGTCGCAGCGTCCACATGATTTATGTCATCTATCATAATGTTTCATAGCTGTCTCTAGTAGGAACATCGTCGAAAAAATTCCCCGTTTCCCTTAATGTATTCGGTTCTTTTCAGATTATGCTCTAATGACCAAACATGCTTGTAATCTTTTAAGTTCTTCATTTGACTCCTTTTTGAGCGCAATTTACCCGCGATTACCTCATTCTTTCACGTACTTCATATATTTTCCAAATACCACTACCAACAAGTGCTTGACATTCTCTATCCATTACATTTTTCACGAATGTCCATATAGATCATTTTTTACACAAACATAAGGAAGCCGATCAACAGGGTTTCTGATTTGATTCGATATTGTCAATGTTTCTTCAGCGTTACTTAGCATCCTGCCATTGTCAGGAATGCTTGTCCAGATTTTTTTCTTGAGCGCATCGTCTTCCTCATCAGCAAGTACAACATCTTCTTCTGCATTACTTTTGATTTACACCATTATGCTGATCGCACAATTCATTAAACGGTACATAAAATATTACTGACTTAACTCATTTTCCATAAACACGGCCTTTCGCCTAATTTTTACCGTTTTTACCGTATGGTCAAAAAATCAATACATTTTAGAACTCTTACAGTATGCAACTAAGAATTCTTCTGCTATGGTGTTCAAAGTCTTACACTTTGGGGTCACAATTCAAACATTTCCCATACAACCAAAAGCTAAGCCATCGTCCACATTTAGTTCACATCTTCTCCAAACGTCTTCCGGTGAAGCGTTCTAAAGATCCTTGCAACGCATATAATAAATGGCTATATTAACCGTATCTGCGCAACAACGTTTATTAAGTTTGCTTGAGACTGTGTTTAATCGGCAGACGTGCTATGTTTTCTTTCCGACGTATATTATTGGGTATTAATTACCCAAGCCACCAGTTTTCCTTAATATGTTATGCGTTGTAATTTAAACTGCATAACTGCAGCGCAACGCTTGCATTATGGATTATTTAATTTAAGCAGAACATTCAGGAGAGTTTCCAGGGCAACAACTTCATTTTAGAACTTTGTCTTTAACTTATTGACGACCCTTCGGTACCCTAGAAACCGTCAAAAGATTTGTATGAACATCGCGTTTGTATAAAACTTCACTAACTTCAACTTCTGACTATCTTTCTTCAACAGATCCATAAACTTTAACATTGTTTTTTATTGTTTATTTTTGTCTGCAGTACTTATTCCAAAATATTCACAGTTCTTCAGATCGTTGAATAACACTTTTCTTAAAGGTGTACTTTGCTGCTCCAGAGTCAAGAAAATAATTCGATGCTGACGATGCGAAGAATGTAGTATCCTTTTGTTCGTCTTTTTGAATGGAATCATTTTTCTTCAGACAGTTCATTTTCATATAGTCAATGTTTCCCCCGCGTTATCATTGGCTGTTGGCCATTCATCAGGAATTTTCATTTACACGTTAGATAATTTTATTGTAGCCCATATAACAATATTTGCATATATAAGCATGGATTGTCACTCTTCCATTTTTGTGTCGGTGTGTTTTTACCTTAGTCTTCTTGTTAAGCTGCAATATTGAAGGCCTTTCTCTGCATTTGTCCAAATCTCCTAAGCCGCAGCACTTTTTGGTTATGAGCCAACAACATTGAATAAATCAGTTATGTATATTTTGAACGTGCAATAATATGCTTTAAAGAGTTTTCTTCTTTACTCTCCACAACTGCGCACAAACATTGATGACCTTTTATAACTAACGTATTTATTTATTGAAACTAGTAAGCGTAGCAAGTGGCATAGACAAAAGAATGAAAATAGTTTACAGTGACAAGAAATTGACGCTTCGTTTCAATATATAATAGCAGAGAATTTTTTTGCTGTCTTGTTCTTATGGGATATTTAGACTCAGCATCGCTCGTCGTTTTCAACATCTCGGCGAAAGATTCTAGATTGTTTGCAAGTTCAGCATTTGAAGGCAAAAGCAAAACTATGGACTGGAATTAGTGGCTACCACGAAGTGCTGCCTATATTGATATGTTTTGCTAACGTGAAGCCAAGTGTGAATTGGACATAGTTTTTATCGAATTCTTTATCCGTATTGTGCAGCGAGTGCGACGAAAATACAACTTCTACTGAGCAAATGTCTAACCTCAAAACTATTTCTTTATTTATTTCTTTATTTATTTAACATTACAGTTAGTTAGCTACATTACTAGGATACAGCTAAACTTAAGACTAAAAGACTAAAGACTAGAAAGAAAAGACAAAAAAGAAAAAACTAAAATTTATTAAGCAGGCAACAGGAACCAGCAACAACAACAAGAACACTGCAACAACTCCTGCTGAAATTTGTATTGTAAATATTTATTTATTTATTTATTATTTAACAATTAATAAATATTAACTACAAATAAATTGTAAGCTAAATTTAAGCATTAAATTCAGAACTTTAGTTCAATATAAATTAAATATAATACAATATGTAAAACTATAGAGTTGGAAAAATATAAAAATAATAAAGAAAATATAGTAAACATAATTAAAGAAATATGAAGGCATAATCATCTGGCAGCTAATCGCGGAGTATAGAAATTTTTATAAAATTTAAAGAATCAAACTGAAACATCAAATTTGTGAAAATTATCATTAAAAAGTTTACAAAGCGCACGAAGCGGGTTATTACGCTGATAGTTAGTACGGCAATGCAATCAGAAATGACTAAAATTAATTTAAACTAATATATTAAAAATATACAAAAGTTACTTTGTAATGAGAAACTCACTGATTACATAAAATTATTTCGCTTCAAACCGCTGGCGTGTATATTGCACTAAAACCGTAAAGTGAAAGTTATGCTGCTTTCTGCGTCTACGAGATCACCTAGATAAAATATACTTTGCATGCATAAACATTTTATGTATAGATTGTGCTGCCTTGCTTGCTATTAGTACTTCCGCTCTGTTTTCGTTTTTTATGGGCAGAAAAGAAAGTGAACACAGCTAATGCTGCGTTATCGATTGTTAGTTGACAAACCGCATATCAAGTTGACTTTACTGAAATTGAGTTACTTTTATTTCATTTTATTCAACAAATCATATTTGGCACAGTCGTGATTTTTTGCTTGCTTTCAAGCTTCAACTTACGGAAGCCAAAGAATTCTTTATCAACGTAAATTTAAATATTAAAATTTTTTTCTTCTACTTTTGGCTGTTGACCTTCGATTTTCAGTTATTTTTTTTTTATGTGCATTTTTTTAGTGGAAGTGCATGGCGCATAATATTCAATTTTATTTGAAAAACTTTGTAATTTGAAGTTACACCTTAATAAAAATAGTTTTTTTCATAAATACACGCCAAAATTGCGTACATAATTGGCCTTGAAAATTTAAATTCCCTCTGACATGTGAGACACTCCAAGAAATGGTGACCGTAGCACAGTTCTGAAACCGGATGAATTAGGTTTAGCTATTTTGTATGTATTATATTACTTTTTATTAACTTTCTACTTTTCTAACAATTTTGCAGTATGCGCTTCTTCAAACAGTGGTCGATTCCTGCCAAAAGAAACGCCATTGTAAGTTTTCCGCAAATTCTAAGCCTTCGGCAATTGGCAATCAATGCGCTGGCATCCGAAAATTTGTTGAGATAGCGTATAAATGTCGTCCATGTAAGTAGTGAAATACTCTTATGTACTTTATATACGTATTTGTTGATCGTGCTTGAATTTTTAAATTATTGTACAGGCACTTTTTATCGCAACTCCAACAAATTAAAATTTCGTTATAACAATAGCCCTATAGTGACCATTTGCGACGTAACGCTCTGGTTTCAAAACGTCGTCAGAACAAAAATATTGCCGATTTTTACATTTCTCGATATATACTAATTAAATGTCCCGCTTCCATACAAGCACACTCGCGAAAAAGTGCCTTATTAGTGTATTATATATACTATGCGACGGAAGAAGCTAAAACAATATTGTATATGTCCTAAGTCTTCGCCAAGTGAAGACGTGTTTTCTGAAACTCTTGAGTTTAGGTCTGGTTTGAGCCTTGTACGCAAAGTTAAAAGAACGCCTTCCTATATTGTGAAATCTCTATTCTAGTGCAAGTTTGGCACCAAACCTTTTTTTAAACTTATAAACTGACCTAGATTTGCCAAAACGAAGGTCTCCTTCAACCGTCGGCAAAAGTTCTTGCAAGCTGGCTAAGTCGCCAGTAATGGGGGGGCACTTCATCGCGTCATTTAAAACTCAAAATTGTTTTTATTCCTATCATTTGTTTTAAAATATTTGCCAACGTGTGTAGTGTAATACCCCGCACACAATTGCCCAACAATTTAAAAACTCTATTGCTTGTGCGCTTACATGTAATTGCTCAAGCAAACGGACACACAACCACACTCACGTACAGGTCGATTTAAAACTTCATAGCATTGTATACACCTGTTCATAGTGTAGTCTTATGCATATTTGCTGTACAACTTTCATTAAATGGTTTCATTTCAGTTGTTTCACTCTTCCCTACGGTCTTTAATATGGTTTGTTTTTATAGGACTCCTTGGGCTAGTACTTCATAATTTTACATCGCAAATGTTGCTAGCGAAATGTCCTATCTTATATATATAATGGTTTTGCACAGGGGTACTTTTCCGAACATATCGTATAAGCAGACATCTTGAAAAAAGTACGCTATGAAAGTGGTTTGACCAAACGAGATTTTAGACGCAATACGTTCGAAACTTTCATAAAACGGAAAAATTATAGCGCAGGAACGCCATTAATACAAAATTCCAAGGATGCAATTTTTAAAATGTAATGGTTCCAAGATGGAATGTACGTAACGGAATATAATGATAGTAAACAGATATTAGGAGACACATTTTTAATATATTTCTCGTTCACCACGGACGATGACTAGACTTCAGATTATTTTTTTATTTTACCCACTTATACATGAAATTCAATTAAAGAATATTACAGTCGAATTCAGCGCATCTTAATAGAAAATTTTTAACTAATTGTTTTGAATTGTTTTTAATTGTTAGTATAAATTAAAAAGAAGAAAAATAAGAATAATAACAAAGTAAGTTTAAATTAAATTAAAAAGTTAAAAGTAATAATAATTATGTATAAATAAATAAAAAGACAAAAAAAAAAGGATACACAACTAGCACAGAAGCACGCTCGCAACAAGAACAGATTCAGGCTGCAAGTGAACTCCTAAACCATTGCAAACATGCATAAGCTTGGCAACCAACACGTTAACAACACAATATTATTTTAAATAAAAAAACTAGATATTAAGAATGAAATGTTAATTTAAGTACGACACAGGTAAGCAAAGTTTCTTTAATAGACTTTAAAGAGTCTGATAATGAGAAAAAGTGATAGACATCATTTAGTCTTCTGCAAACAACTCTGAGCGGGTTATACAGCTCATAATTGTATTTACATTGAGTAAGCTTAATCAAGATAAAGTGCCTAGAGAAACGATTAGGGACATTAAAGCTTATCTCACCAAATAATGCGGGCGAGTCAGTTTATTACTTTGATTAAGAAAGAAACCCCAAGAACAGATCTACGTTTCTCAAGGTAAGGATAATAGAAATAACCTATTTTCATGTGGGGGAAGAGAAGCAATCGGGTCCCAACCCAAATTCCTAAGAGCAAAGCGTAAGAATTGCTTTAGAACAAATTCTATTGAATTTACATACCTCTTATATGAAGGAGACCACAAATACAGAGGCATACTCGAATTTAGATCTAACCAACCCATGTACATGTTCATTTTTCGTAATGTAGGGATCGTTAAGATCTTTGGACCTTCTCTTAACAAAACCAAGCACGGACCTAGCTTTGCTTAACCAGAACTCCATATGCAAGTTAAACCGTAACCTATGGACAAATCTATGAGCAAATCGTTGTCCTTCAACTTGTGCGAATCAATGAAATACTGAGTAATGAATAACTTCCTTCTTGAGAAAGAAAGCTTCTTACATTTATTTAGATTTAGTTTCAGAAGATTCAAAGAGAACCATGCAAGCAGATTAAACACTTTGAAGCTGATGTGAAGCTGTGTGAAGCCGATTTCCGAAAAGGAAGAAAACGTTTTCACATCATACATTAAGATCTGACTGGATTTAGTCACCGAGGGCAAATCCGTAATGCCTAAATTAAATAAAATGTGTCCTAAGTGGCTGCCTTGAGATACGAAAGACGTTGCTGAGAATTCATCCGAGGTAATGAAGTTAAACAAAACCTTGAACGATGAGGCAGATAAATAGAAAGGGAAGCCAGAGGCTCGGAAGATAAGTAGTTTACGGTTAACGAAATCAAACGCTTCGCTAAAATCAATGCACATGACATCAGTGCGAGAGTCACTAGAAAAAGCCTTGAAAACATGACAAGTAAACTCTAACAAATTGGTGTTCGTAGATCTTCTTTTTCGAAAGGCATGTTGGAGAGGAGAAAAATATGATTTGATGGCAAAGGCCAAATCCTGAGCCACAATTCGCTTAGAACAGTTTAGGCAAGACACTCAACTTGGCAGTGCTTCTGTAGTTCTCTCTCTACAAGTTGTCTACTACCACTTTTGTGAACAGGAATAAGGAAACTAGTCTTCCAATACAAAGGGAAAGCACCTAAATTCAAGGACTGGTTAAAAATCTTTGAGATAACACCAGCTCGCTAGCGCAAGGTTTAAGTCCACTTGATGGAATTGCATCAAGTCCAACTATATTTTAGAGAGTTCAATCCTTCAAAAACGTCAATTTCAAAAATAACCATATTAGAAATTGAAAACAAATTGGTAATCGGATATGGATAGCTTGCTGATAATTCAAAATTAGCAATCGAAAAATTTTGTCGGACGTACTCCGCAAAGAGATTTGAGGTTTCAGTATCATCCAAGGTCTCAGACTCATTAAAAGAAACTTGCGAGGGATTTATGGAGATTTTTCTTTTGAAATTAACGAACTTAAAAAGGTATTTAGTGTTAGCAAACAGAGAGGATTTAACACACTGAAGGCATCTGCAATAATATTGGTGGTTGAGTGAATTAAACCTATGCCTCGTCACGGAGTAAGCGAAATAGTCGAAAAGAGAACCGCTTTTCAAAACTTTTTTGAAAAGCTTCTTTTTCCTATTCTTCTAATATTTAGTTGTCTTATTAAACCACGGGGGACACCCGCTTCGAGGACCGCACTGCTTGATCGGAACGGATGCAGGAATAGCTTGATTTAATATATTGCAGAACGATGACAGTAAGCAATCAATACTTCCAACTGAGGAATCAAACATAATATGTGAAACGTGTGATTTTAGCATAGAAAAATTGGTTTTATGCAAATCATAAAATTTAGTTGAAAAAATTGAATTTGGAACGTTACGGAAATTCAAGGAACAATCATGCTTTTAATGGAAGGAAATACCCAATGCTGGATGATTCTATCAGATGTTAAATTAGGAATCAGACAATCAGAAATATCACTGTAACATCAAGTGACTTGGGGCAAATTGAAGTCAACCAAAGACTATATCGGTAGGTTTAGATTGATGGGCCACTTCGGAAAGGAGGTCGGCCTGTTTCTTATATAAGGAGATGTCCGAATTTGGGGGAATATAGGAGCAGGTCACATATAAGCGTTTATTAGGTAATTTCGCTCGAATGGCGATAAATTCAACGTCGGGAGTAGTGGGAAACTCAATTGAATAGGATGGGACTGCCGCAGATATGGGAATTAAAACACCACCACCGTCGCAATACAATCCATCATTTCTGAAAACGTCAAATGAATTATGCAAAAGTTTCGACGAATGTAGATCAGGCTTTAACCAAGTTTCAGTGAAGGCCAAACAGAAAAATTCCGTGCTCACTGAATTTATGAAAGTGGAACGAATTTTTGAATTTAGGCCCCTAACATTTTGATAAATGAGAAATAATGACCTTGAAGAAATATTTATTTTTTTCAAGGGGAAATGGCTACTGCATTAGTATTACGAAGTCGATTACTAGGGATAAATTCCTCAATTAAGGATCCAACCGGCCACAATGGTTTATTTAACAACTTATTTATGGTTTCAGTCGGAACTAAAATTTTAAAAGACTAAATTGCTGTATGTTGAGAGGGAGTCGATTTGAAAATACTAATCCGCTTTAAATGGACAGATGAAACTTTCGCCGCCAGATAACTTTTTATGTTATTCACAGATGTATCAGGTGCCAGTCTTGACACAAATATTGCCTTTCTAGGAGGAACTGCTTTCAAGCAAATGTCATCTGTACCAGGAGCAATAGAGTTCACGGATGTGGAGTTTTGAGTTGGGGAGAATGCAGTGAGTGATAATACATGGCAAAATGGTCACACAGCCAACACGAGATGAATCGCTCAGATTCAGGGCCTGTTTTCGCACGACGTGGTGTAAATAAACAATCCATGTTCAGTGAAAACAACAAAAGGACCTTATAAACAAAAAAAAAAAAAACAAAAAACTAAAAGATTCCACGACACAAATTTTCAGCAAATTAAAGAAAACTTCTCACTTTCCCAGCATATAAAGCGAAAGCAAAACAAATCGTAAGCAAAGATTAACAGAAAAAAGGAGACTTTTACCAAGAGCTCTAATCGTTGATTGCACAAAACCAAAATGAATTCTTCACATAAAAG